TGGGTTTTTGGGCATGGTATGACGACATATAGTTACCGTGTTAATACCATGGTAATTTTTACTGGCATTGGTATTCACATGGTTTTACATTCATATTAGGCCTAGTATTTGGGTCGTAAGTTAGTTTACCATAGGTAAGAGGCTGTTCAAAATATGACCACCACTCGAAAACTAACTAGGGTGGTATTTTTCTTAGTAGGCGGTACCAGGATAATACTAGCGTTAGTAGAGCTTTGGTTTCTTATTAGTTATGCTTTAGTTTCAAGGTAGTATGATGAAAAAATATTACCGTACTAAGACCATGGTATTTTGATGAGCATTGGTAGTTGCATAGTATTCCTTTGATATTGGGCCTAGTATTTGGATCGTAAACTGGTTTACCATAAGTAAAAGGCTGTTCAAAATATGACCACCACCCAAAAACTAACTAGGGTGGTATTTTTTTCTTTCAGTGTGTGTGCACCTTTATCAGCTGTACGTGTGGGTACACGCACCTGTTGCCTGGCCTGGCGTCAGCACCCCCCCCCCCTCCCCCTCCCTCGCTACCCCTACCGTCGAGACGGCAGACACACAGGTATACCGGCCGGGGGACGAGATCATTGCGGGGGCAGCGACCGGAACAGGCGATATTTTTATACAGAACCATCATAGAAGATAGTAACATACAGAACCAATCTGGAGGAACTTTGAAATAAGTCGAGATCAAAGTAATAAAGTTTTCTTTTGAATAAGCTAATTCTAAAGCGACGGGGGCAAACGTTGCGTTTCTTAGAAATATACACAGACTAATGAGCACCACATGTGTACCTACTGGTATGACAGAACCGTACTGCGGTGAAAGTATTTACACAAAAAAAGATCAATAAAAAGTTAAAGTGAACGGTTATCATGTTTCGTGCCGTACCCAACTTCAAGCGTCGGCCGTCGATCTAAAATTAATTAAAAAAAACAACAACAAATAACCATGCATTTTCGGCAGTGACATTTATGACTACTGCCTCCGATTTACGTGACTTGTGGATCATGAAAAAACATCATTAGGTGCTTTACAATCCGCATCAATCATTTGATAATTCATATCGAGTTATTCATTTTATTAGAATGCAGACTAAATTATCGATATCATAACCCTCGCCGCCGGTTGATGCAGCCCCCCTAAGGTTTTTCGCAAATAGCGTAAAAACGGTGACACATAGCGCCGCCAAGTTTGGCATGCCCTCTGGGACAGTCTTTTGGCACCTTTCCTGAAAATTATAGGTCTCTGTCATTTCAGGTCAGGTCACTCACCAAAACCGGTACAATGTCTTTATTACATTTATATAGGGATTTTTTTTACATTTATACTCCCAAAAAAAAACAAAACAAATATTGACTTAGAGCAATCAAATTTGCACAGTGGCGAGATCTTCTAAGAGCCCACTTACCCTGTAAATAAGCCGTCCGTGTTATGGAAAAGGCCCTGGCCCCTGGCCTGGCGAGGGATACGGCAAACAAGTCATATGAGTAGGTTTCAAATTAACCCGCGCCCCAGTGGCGGTCTCAGCCAACTTCGCCCTAGTGAGGGGGGGCATATGTTACCACCCACCTCTAACTCAAAAACTAAGAGGGCTAGAAAGACGCAGTAAAAAGCAGTCGATAGCTCTCAATGCGTACGTTTGAAAGTATTTCAGTCATTTTTCACCTTAGAGCAATATTGGGGTCACCAGAGGTCATCAAAGGTCAAAATTTGCCAATTGTCATTATATTTTTCAGAAAACATGCCGCTATCTCAGGAACTATGGTAGCTAGAATAACGCAGGGAAAAGCAATCGATAGCTTTTGAACTCTTCTTTTGAAAAGGTCATTATCAATATTGACCTCAGGTCAACGGTTTGGCCTCCAGAGGGCAAAAAGTCCAAAAATAGCTGTTTTAACGAAAAGTGTTTTTCGACAATAACTTTCGACTACAAAAAGCCACGACATTTATATTGCCAGAATCGTGTTCCTCTCGCCAAGACGCGTCGAATGAACTATAATTTGACCTTGAAAGGTCAAGTTGAAAATTTGACCTCAGGTCAAGGTCATGACCTTACCGGAAAAGGTCATGTTGCATATCAGTCGATGCGTCTCAACAAGGCAAACACAATGAGACCATCCCCAGCGTTCTATCTCTTTCCAATCGCGAGTTATTGGCAAAAAACTGTTTGTAGCCTCAAGTGACCTCGGATGACCTGTCTAGAGGCTATCAGCAAAAATGACACCTTGGTCATCACGAGTGGACCAAATCATTGTGATTCTGAAATATTTGGACTGTTCCGATGCGTACACACGGATCTAGAGGCATTTTCATTTTTCTCCATTGACTTGTAATGGAAAGGTTTCGCCACTGACCTGACCTTAGGTCACGGATATAAAAAATCCGAGATATACAACTTGTAGGCGCCCATAACAGCATGCAATCCACCAAGTTTGAAACCTTTCTGACAAACACTGCAGGCTGGACATGATTGCAAACTTTTTTAAGGCTTGGTCAGTTAACTTGACCTCGTGACCTGACCTGACATGACCTGGGGTCAAAAATTTCACACATTGTCCAAAATTGATGTACCAAAAGCTACCCCAAGCGGCGCGGCGCTACGCGCCGCGGTTTTTTATTCACACGCAAAAAACGCGACAGGGTGGTAACATATGCCCCCCCCCCCACTGGGGCGAAGGTTAAGGATCCATCATGGCACGAGTATTCGATTGGAGCACATATAAGATTTTAGCTTTAAACGTTTAGCTATTTAGGCGCATAACTATTTAAGCCTTGCGGAATTAAGTACGCTACATAAGCTCACGATGAGATTCATTATCTAGACAGAAGTCTCGCATCATCTATTCCAATCCCTTTTCCATTATCTTGGCCTTATCGTTGGACCGATATTGCTCAATTATATATCATATATGTACCTATAGCGAGCCTGGAACACACTGAGCCGATCTGCCACAGCTAGCCTAACAATATCGGATTGTTGCACCAACTGCAGGGAGCAGAGCTTTTCCAGGACATGCGATTTATCGTTCCAAGCTGCACTATTGATGTTTGTCGCGATGTTCTCAGAAATGAGACGAGTGACGCGGCGACGAGGATGTGCCCACATCCTGGATTGTAGCTCCCAGATCAGGAACTCGGGCTGGATGGGCACCGTCAATAACTAGGTATTACTGGTGTCAGAGAGCCACAATCAGCTGTGCAAAAATAATATCCCGTCTTCTCTGGCTCTCTCCCACTCTGTTCCTCTCTATCTCCCTCTCCTTCTCTCATCAAATCACCTTTCTTCATTCGCTCGCGCCGGCAGAGCTCATCATTCATCGAGACCATTCATCACTGACCGTTACAATTGTGTCGAGCGTTCGTGATCCGGCTAATCTTCCACCAAGGGTCACAACTCACATCTTTATCCATTCGCCCTACCCCATCTATCTGTTCTGTGGAGGGTCATTACCCCGTCCTCTGGCCCGACTGAGACGCAGTTGTCGCTCGCTGCCGTTAGTTTGTATACTCCCCTCAGCCGGGGGGGGGGGGGATGGGCGTTTCTGGGTCGCGCTGATCGTCAGGGCGTCTGTGTTGTGGTGTTCAGGGGCCCCGGCGGGGGGAGGGGGAGGCGGCGGCGCGTGACTGGCTGCCACCGAGCCCCAGCGCCCCTCCCCCCCCCCCCCCGTCCAGCCCAAGGTCAGCGGGCCTCCCGGCGGCGCTAAGTGTTGGGCTGACGCGGGGGCACCTTGCTGAGAGCGCCGCCATGCTCCCTGACTGCCGGCGGGCCGTTCCCAGAACCGGCGCTAAGTCGGCCGGCTGCACGGCTGCACGGCTGCACAGTGTACAGCTGCAGCTCACGGCAGCGACTGGAATAGCTTCGTCCGCCGGCGCAGGGAGGGCAGTCCGCTCCGCCGGCGGCACGGCAGTGCGGCTCGCAGCTCCCGCAGCTGCTGCGGTGCTGGCCGCAGCTCCCGCAGCTGCTGCGCGGCGGTGCGGTCATCGCCGCCGGAACCCATGACGGCGCAGCTCGCCGCGGCTTCGTGACGGCACGGCGCCGCGTGGCGGGCTTCGGCGGTCGGCTGGGGCTGGGCTCACGCAGCCGGCGTCCCCAAGGTCAACCGGCGCCCGGGGCCGACTCCCGAATATGGCGGCGCCGGCTCGCTGCAGTCGATGTGCCACGTGGCCGCCGGTGCTGCCCCCACCTGGCGATGGCGGCCGGTGACAACAGGCCGCCATGGGCGATGCAAAACAAAACAATGCATGGCACGGCACGGCACGGCACGGCATCGGAGGCGACACGACGCGGCGGTGTCACAGAGTACTGACGGACAGAGGTGGAAGGCTCCAGGGGCGCACAGTACTAGGAGGGGTCACGCCAGAGGCATCTTTTGGAGGGGCCCTGAACCGACGGTGGCAACAATAAGGTCATTTTCTTTCCTGAAGTTTTGAGCAATAGTTATCACTTTTATTAATGCTACCAGCCTATTGGAATGAAGTGTATTAACCATATCAGTCTATTTATAGGTACCTACCCAGCCAGCAATTCGGTTGGGGAAGGTGCGGGGACAGTGTTGGGGAAAGCTTGGGGAGAACGTACAATTCCCCTATCGGATCGGGGAACGGTCCGTGTTCCCCATCCCTTCCCCGACTGTATCGGTAATATGTTCAAAAGACATGGGGAAATCACACCGATCCCCGTACGGGGAAAGAGCAGCATTCCCCAATCAAACCCCACTGTTGGGGTTCGGTCGGGTAAAAGATCAGATTCCCCGTACGGGGAAGGGTGCGTTATCCCCGACCCATTTTCAAGAACAGTTTGATTGGGGAAAAGTAGGGGAACTGTTGAAATTCCCCGCTCGGGATTTTACACTTAATCCCCAGACGAATCCCAACCGCCAGTAGGACGTCTTGAGATCGACTTCCAGCATGTAATATTCAATAAAGAAAAATTGAATCTTGGGAATGTTAAAAGCAGTCTAAGGAGCAGTTCTAGAGCTATAGGCTCATGCATCGATTGAAGGGAGATATAATAAATAAAAAATATAACGATATAACGATTTTTTATAATCGTTTTCATGACAGGTGATCTGGCGAATGCATCAAACAGTGACCAAATTTGCACCAAATCTCCTTTTCATATCTTCATATCATATAGGTACCTATTTATTTCAGTGTTTTAATCGAAAATAATGTCTGATAATTTTATCAAATCGGCACCGTATCTGGACCAAATGTCTACCAATTGTGTACCAGTTACCTATCATGAAAACGGTTATTCGCAGACATTTGATTGTAGACATTGGATCTATGTAATTTTCGACCTAAAAGAGAGGAAAAGCCGTCTTGGTTTACGGGGCCTGCTAAGCCGTGTGGATGAGGACACGCATACGCCATTACTTTGAACGAACGTTGGTGCCCTTATTTCATGAGGTAAAAACAACTTTGACAACTTTCAGGATCTATGTTTCTTCTCGCACTGCTGTGGCATAAACATTACGTTTTCTTTCTTCTGTCATCACTCATCGCATTGAAATTACAAAAGCATCAAAATTTCAACAACACACTGCTTACGACTTAGAAGTGTCGCCTCAACGCAGCGAGGGGAGGGGAGGGAGGGGTAGCAACGGCCGGCCGCCGTCGGTTCCGTCCGCACATCTGGTTGAGGGGCGTCTCCTGTCGCCATCTGTCATCGTGAATGGGGCCGTGCTGACGCGTCAGACGGGACGAACGGGGGAAGTCGGTCCAGAGTCACTGCGCCGCGCGGTTGTGTGAGCAAGCCGTGGGCTAGGTACCGCTCCAGGTCAGACAATGGTTGGCACTGAAGAGTGCGGTGACACTACAGAGCTGTGAACGAAGACGGTGAACGGCGAGATGTGGTGACCGCTTGACTGACCTGTGCCCAAAGTCGTGATCTACCGCTGGGGTCAGTGCATGAGAAGCTGGACTCGGCAACAACGGAGGACGCAGATCGACGAGGAAGATATGCTGTGTTGGTAATGAACTAAAGCACTTAATTGTAACGAATCATGATAGATATAAAATGACGATGATACTAACTCAAATTTATTGTAAAAGACAAAGCTTCCGATACACACAATATCTTGATCACTGTCTAGGGTATGCAGAATATGACGTAAAAATGACTGAGGTCATCAACCTCCGTCTGAGATTATCCTTAAATTGCCCGTACAATATAATGTCATCAGCCTAATGCTTTATCTGCTTCTGTTCTAGAGGGACGTCTGCCGGTTACGACCGGAAGGCTTCCGACGGACTTGGCAGAACCCACAACAGCAGTATGAACCCGGCGTGGAGTTAATGCGTAATTGCTCGCATGAGCAACCGAAGAGCGACTTCCAGGCGAAGCTGGTAAGCAGTTTATGGGGGTGGGGGTTAGCTTAGAGCTGTTGAACAACCTGTCCTTCACCCAAGTCTAAAGGCTGAGACACACTCTTTCTACAGCCAGAAAGTCTCATGCGAGAGCCCATTAATTAAATACATGAAATCACGATCGCTTACAGGGATGCGCGAACGATTGACGCGATTGTAATAAATACATGTATTTGAATAGGCTTTCGCATTCCATTTTTTTTTTTTTGTCTTCGGAAAGAGCCTGTTTCAGCAGCTCTACTAGACAGCTCTGTTTGTGAAAGGAACTTCATTGTTATCTTGATAAACTAGCAACCGATTTTAATTGTCAAACGGCGTTCATTTATCTGTCAAGTGCTTTCGCGAGGAACTTCGTAAGGCGTAATATAGACGTAAAACATTTATTACCTAATGACTTTCCTGGAATGAAAAATGTTTAGAAGTACAAATTTAATTATTGAATTTTTATTTCCTCTTTTAATTAACTATTCAAAGTATATCACATTCATTTTTAAGCACTTTTCGTGGGAAAAAGCTATAAATAAGTGTAATTTCATAAAATGGCATTCAACATGTTTTAGCATAAGCTGAAGTTTCCATAAAAGGACATTTCATGTAGTAGCTAGCTGTAAAACCTTATTGATATACCTACAAGTGCACATTATTTGTTTTTGTCCACAGCCGCAGAATTCCTGGAGATGCGCTGGGACATGGATCTATAGCAAGGTGGCTCTCAGCGGCAGCTGACCGCTGAGATGTGTCTGAAACAGCCAGAAGGAGCGTTACCGGGCTTGGGCGGTCCGGTCGATCGACGATCACTTTGACTTGTTTTGCAACATAAATATTTTTATTCCGTTCTTCTTGTTCCATTGTGTTTCATCATTATTATTGTTGCTAAATACGTTAAGTACTTCTCGTTTAGCAAGCGGCGCCATGATTTAAGTGCGTAGCACTTTTGCGCCAATTGCATACTTTATTTGTTATATTCATCTGTTTGTTATTGAATAAATGGTCTCTCTCTCTCTCTCTCAAGGAAGACTCGAGTTGTGGATCCAGGGCACTACTGAACGGAAGGCCGGACCAGCTGCATAGGGAGACTACAGAAAAGCCGTCGTTCTCAATCTGCTGAACAGACTCCTACTGCAGAGGATCAACTGGGGTTCGACGTGTTAGAACTGGGGTTAGACCGGTTACCAGTGCTCGTGTTCGTCACCTGTTGTTTGTCACTGCTGCGCTGCTGCTGTAATGTTTGCCACCTGCTAAGCGTTCACAATGTATTTTAAGTGAATAATAACTTTTTTTATTGTTTGTCTTGATTTGTAACGAGTATATCAGTTATCAAGCATGTTAACCTTTCATCAAATGAAGGACTCCACATAAAAATAGTATAGGCTGTGGTGGTACAGACACATACCATGCTTGGCCGACTGTTGTGTATTGATCTAGTCGTTGAAGCGTCCTGAAAGTCTGGAAATAAACAGGCATGGCCAAATGGATTGGTTCTAATTATTTTCCTGTGTGGTTTTATCGTTTCTCTATTGCGGGGAAACAAGTGGACAATTTTGTTTGTATGTAAACAAGTATGTTTATACAAATATTTGTATGTTTACAGACAAAATAAATAGTCATTGTCAATTTTAATGGGACCCGATTTGTTTCCCAGTGCGGTTTATTACTGGCTTCTCCGTACGGGGAAAAAAAAGCAGACAAGGCAGTAGGGCCATTGCCAAGTCGGGGAACGGCCGGGGCTCGCGCGGGGAAAAGGTCTGGGAACGTTAGGGGAAAATCACGGTTTCCCCGATCGGGGAAGGTCTCCAGCAAGTATAAACCCGTATAGCCGGGTGGGGGAATGTGCGGGGCTCGCACAGGATCTTCTTGGGGAAAATGTTCGATAACCCCGTACGGGGAACCGACCTTAACAACGGGTTTTAACCATAGTCGGCGCGGGGGTAGCCTGGGGGACGTTTGGGGAACGCTTGGGCAGTTATACCGTTTCCCCGTACGAATCCCGCACAAAGTTCCCCGTACAAAGTGTCTCAAATCCCAAGCGAACGCTCCGTTTTCCCCAAGAGAACGGTTGGGGTTTCCCCGAGCCTGCCCCAAGCTCGCCATAGGCCTTCCCCGTACGGGGAAAGCTCCGATTTGCTGGCTGGGTAATACATTTTGATACCTACTAGGTAGCCGCTACAGCCTGTTATCTATCGTACTGTTTTGCACAGTTGAGAGAGATCGCTAGATGTGTCTGAAAAAGAAATTAATTTCAACTTTTTACTGATACCTATATTGTGCGTTCTTTCTTGCTTTTTTTTAACAAAGCATAGGTTTTTAAATGACAGCACCTGTAAGCAATATAATTGTAATCGATGTGTTACCGTGACCCGTGACTTATGTGAGCGAGCCGTTAGGTTTCTGCCACCGCAGCACAGTATCAGTTTGTGACACTCGTTAGTTCGCTGCTCGGTATGTACAGTGGAAGGCACTGCACCACACGGCGCTATTGGCCGCCAGGCAGCGGTTGCACTGAGCCGAGACCTGGCCGTTGCCGGGGCGGCCCTTCATAGCCCCGGCCCGCCGGCCCCAGTAGGTAATTGTGGGCCTACCGTTCCGGCGCGGCGCTCTCACGCGCTGAATGGGCTATATTGAGTCGGCAGCTCGGCAACTAGCGACACAACCGCAGGCTCTGCATATAATAAGGTTTGTTATATAAACCTTATGGTTGTCGCTTAAATTAGCCACTGGAGCCCTACTCCCAATGAATGTCAAAGTGACGTTCGTGTATAACAGCAAACATACTCAGCAACATATCTTTGGCCAACGAAGAGCAGAAGTTGTTGGCTACAGTTCAAACGTCTGTTGTCTGCCTCATATTGTTATAAATATGATCACCAAATCGGAAAGGTTATTAAAAGCAATACAAAGCTACAAGGGGAGATGCTTTGTTGATCAAGTTATATTCCGCACTTTTTGCGCGCAAATTTTAATGCTCATGTTTTGAGCGGAGCATCTGCCACCTGAATTTTACCGGTCGAATGCCAAGGAATTCAAATAATTATGTTAACAACATAATCTTTCGTGAGGACTCGCCAATATACCTACACACTTGCGCGAGAAAATCGCCACTGTAACGGTCGAAAGGACCGGCAGAGTGGTTAGTTGTGTTTTCATTCAAATGTTATGTTGACATCGATGCATGTCATTGCCATCCATTTAGGTGCTACTGTCTATGCTGAAATTGTTACGATCGTACAATCAATTTGTTATTTGAAATTGAATATGTTACAAACGAAGTCCGTATGGTGCATTCGTTGTATCTCACGAGAATATCAGCAATTGTTTTGCATTCAATATCAGACCGGCCCGATGACCTTCATGTCTCAATGAGAAATGCAGCTCCACTGACTCGCTACTTCATTCGCCAGCGCTGGCCTTCTATGTTAGCTTCGGTAGGCCCGAGTGTTTATTGGTAATTTACGAGCTGAAACAAATCGATGAACCGCCGTGAGGCAAACAATGCAGTTTGAGTGGCCTGGCATTCGCCAAGAGAGCGTAGTTTTGGTAATGTTTACTGTGTATACCTATGCTTCAGAGAAAACGACACCAATTTCGAATTTCATAACCAAATGCTTTCATTTTGGTGCCTCGAGCTAGTTTAGGCCGCCTACACGACACTGGTGGGTCCAAGTCCAACCAGGGATTACGAAGGGGATAGCGGTGGTCTGCAGTGTTCATAGAGCAATGTTAAAAGTCGAGCTTTTTATGAGGCCATCAGCCATGGTTTTGTGATGTGCCTCCTAATCCCATGCGCTCGCCAATGCTACGGGTCTGGATGTCGGACTTATTTCTTAGCTATCTAAAAATAGTTTCAATTTCCTTTTTAACGATTCAGAAATAATAGCATGAATAAAAACATAAAATATTTAACGGGCACTTCATGCAGGCACTCGTAAGCCTTATAATGCGCTGCGTATATTTTACAGTATGTTTACATTAAGTTGTCACTATATATTTAGAGCATAGGCAGCCTACATTTATCTTCTTTAAAAATTTAAGAACAATATGAGACATAAGAGGTAAGTACGAACAGTGCAGTGCCGAAACACTTCAATCAATTCATGAATATATACCTAAATCTGCGTAAATGTGAGCGGATGGACAGGAAAAACTGCTCGGTGCCCCAAGAAACAAGGTTCACTGAAGTGAAGACCGACGCTGACTAGTCGATATGAAAAAGTAAGTTAAATCTGCATGAATATGAACACATTGTCAAATGCCTCCCAGAATGCAAGGCTCAACATTTTACGCTTCCTTAGTTCACCGCTGTGTGTAGTGCGGTACAGCATAACCTACAGGCGGGATACTGTGCCGCATAGCACGGGCGTCCTGCGGCACAGTATACCATTCAGTGAAACCCGCCCGACCAACGGCTGATGTTATATTCTTTAGTTATACCTACTCTTAAGTGCCTTATTATATTACAGCATCAGCCGAAATGCCTTCATGGCGCGCCCACGCCGGCAGTGGCGGATCCAAGGGGGTGGGGTCACATGGGTCATGGCCCCCCCTTGAGGCCCGGGCCCAAAGACCTGCCAGGGGCACCACCGGCCTATCAGGGGTATCACAGTCCTGACAGGGGCACCACAGGACCGCCAGGGGCACCACAGGCCTAGCAGGGACACCACGGGCCTGGTGCCCCTGGGCCCTGACAGGACTGTAACACCCCTGACAAGCCTGATGTGTCCCCGGCAGGCACGTGGTGCCCCTGACAGACCTGAGGCGCTCCTGCAAGGCCGGTGGTGCCCCTGGCAGGCCTGTGGTGTCCATGGCAGGCCTGTGGTGCCCTTGCTAGGCCTCTGGTGCCCCTGACAGGCCTGTAATGCCCCCTGGAAGGACTGTGGTGCCCCTGGGCCCTGACAAGCCTGAGGTGCCCCTGACAGGCCAGTGGTGCCCTTGCTAGGCCTGTGGTGCCCCTGGCAGGCCTCTCGTGCCCCTGACAGGCTTGCGGTGCCCTTGGAAGGACTATGGTGTCCCTGGGCCCTGACAAGCCTGAGGTGCCCCTGACAGGCCCGTGGTGCCCTTGTTAGACCTGTGGTGCCCCTGGCAGGCCTCTGGTGCCCTTGCTAGGCCGCTGGTACCCCTGCGCCCGGAGAGGACTGGTGCCCCTGAAAAGTTTGAAGTGCCCCTCGGCAGGCCCGTGGTGCCCCTGACAGGCCCAAGGTGCCCCTGCGAGGCTGGTGGTGCCCCTGGCAGACCTCTGGTGCCCCTGGCAGGTCTGTGGTGCCCCTGGCAGGTCTGTGGCGCCCCTGGCAGACCTGTGTTGACTGGTGCCCCTGCTAGGTCGCTGGTGCCCCTCACAGACCTGTGGTGCCCCTTGGCCTTGACAAGCCTGAGATGCCTGGCTATGACAGGCTCGTGGTGCCCCTGTTAGACCATTGGTGCCCTTGCTAGGCCTGTAGTGCCCCTGGCAGGCCTCTAGTGCCCCTGCTACCCCTGCGCCCGGAGAGGACTATGGTGCACCTGAAAAGCCTGAAGTGCCTCTCGACAGGCCCGTGGTGCCCCTGGGCCCTGACAGGCCCAAGTTACCCCTGCGAGGTCGGTGGTGCTCCTGGCAGGCCTCTGGTGCCCCTGGCAGGTCTGTGGTGCCCCTGGCAGGCCTGTGTTGACTGGTGCCCCTGCTAGGCCGCTGGTGCCCCTCACAGGCCTGCGGTGCCCCTGGAAGGACTGTGGTGCCCCTGCCCCTATGGGTGCTCATGGGCCCAACAGGCCCGTTGTGCCCCTGACAGGCCTGCCGTGTATACTTGCTAGACCTGTGGTGCCCCTGCTTCCTGGCAGGCCTGTGGTGCCCCTGGCGGGCCTGTGGCGCCCCTACAAGGCCGTAAGTGCCCCTGACAGGTTTGTGGTATCCCTGGAAGGACTTTGGTGCCCCTGACAAGCCTGAAGTGTCAAGGACAGACCCTTTAGACGCCAGTGTCAAGTTCGTCGGACTGACAACGATTTGCTTACCTGATAACGTTCCTGGTAAGTACTCACTACTCAGCGTCCACAACATATTTACACATAGCACATTCATATACAGGGTGATCCAAAAAAAATTGGAACCGCTAACTTAAAATGTCTGTAAGTCAGAAAATTTTCACTTTATTGATAAGTTGCAAACACCATTAGAAAGAGCGTTCAATTCCCTATAAAACCAAGTTGATTGTACTTACTTATCATTATAAATATTGCCCTAGACATATGCCTATAAAATTTGTGTCACGAAACTCAGTGAAACGGTTTTGAACGTTATGCGCAAATCAGTGATTGACGGTTTGCTGTTCTGACCATGTCGCTTGTTGGAGGTTCATGAATGAAATAGCTCATTCACGTGCTATTGTAAGGAAAGGAAAGGCTGACGGCCTGCTGGGACCAGTTGTCCCAGAGACTGCTGGCCCGCGCGGTCGGAGCTGTCCCCAAGCAACTGCAGGCCTGCGTGACGGCCCACGGAGCTCGGGTTGAGCACAT